AGCAAAGCCTACACCCATTTGTACAATGCTTATAAGCTCTTGCTGACTTTATCGTCTACTCAAGTTGCGTGTGAACGGTCCTTTTCCAAATTAAAATACATTAAAAATAGACTGCGAAGTTCAATGTCGTCCACGCATTTAGAAGCTTTCATGCTGATGTCTGTCGAAGTAGATGTTATGGTTGGGCTGTCCAACGAAGACATCATCGACTCGGTTGCAGAAATCGCACCTGGGCTAAAAACACATCTGGTCCTTTGATCCACTACCATCCACATTCGGTAAGTTTCGATAATATGGCGTCAGAAACATTATGTTATTACGGACGTTACCAAATCATAATTGATGGGTTATTTTTTTTGTTAATATCGAGTGCAACACATTATAACCACAGAATTCTGGAGACAGCATGTATACTTTTTATGATTGCAATACAGATTCTATTGGTCGAATGCAGTTTTGCACTAACTATACCATGTATAAGGTGCGCGCTATAAATATTACTGTTAAAGCATCAAAGTCGATTATCAGATGTTTTTGTGCAACTTAGTCAAATAATTGTTTTGTAGTAGAGCAGAGAGCTTGCACATTATAGTATAGTTGTGACTTTTCGAGCGATAGTTTCGACTACTTATTAAAACATATTGAAACTTCTATATTATACCTGTATGGTAAATGGTAGCTACATACCTATATAGATATATATATAAATAAATATTATGCAAGAATAAAAATGTGAAGCAGTCTACAATTTGTAGGCCTTAAAAATGTCGCCGTAATTTTATCTATCTCCTGAACATGATACGAATTTTTTTGCTGCTGCTATGCAAGTCGGAAATTCCCAGCTGAACCCCCCCCCCCTCACCCCCCTCCGCTCCTTAATGACTTAGTATTGCTGTATGTGGCCCGGACCGCTTGGTTTACAGTCCCGGGCCGCTTGACCACCCCCAGTACAGCCCTGTGGCCTAATCTCATAAGTCTTCAACTATCGCTATTGTCACTAGAACTAGTGCTACTATTAGCATCCTCGAGAGAATCGTCCATGAAGTTCAATTCAACCTCTTCTTCTTTGTTTTCCTCCCTAGCATGTGAAAAATTCTCCTCATTGTCATCAATTGGATTTTTTTCTATACCTAAAGGAAATATATATGTTTGAGTTCAAGTAGAAACAAAAAAATAAAATATTTTATTCAAATATGATATCAAATAATATCTTATACCTTTGTTTTTCTTCTTTGTATTCTTTGCATGTGAAGATGCTTCACCTTCTTTGACTTTAAAAGGGTCATCAAGAGCTATATTTGCATCAAGATCTTAATAGACCTCTACCTCAGGATCTTGGAGCTCTGAGATCCATTTATCGCCAGATGATACATCATCCAAACAAAGGAGGTCTTCAATTGTTTTCTTCTTTAACTCCCTGTGTTTTAGTTTCAAATTGAACATGATGTAAACCAAATCATTGAGTTTCGCTTGCTTTAAGAGATTTCTTCTCTTTGTATGCACCTGTTTATTAAAATACTAAAGCTCAGTAAGATGAAAACCGAAAAACATATAAAACCAAAATACTTTATATTATTACTTGATTGAAGGAGCTCCAATTCCGTTCGCATCCAGAAGTACTACAAGTCAAGCTCAAGATTCTAATGGCAAATTTTGCAAGTTCAGGCGTTTGATCTCCAAAAGCTCTCCACCAATCCGCTGAAAATAGTAATGTTATTTTATTAAATTGATAGAAAAAAAAAATCGTTGAGATGTGATCCCGGAATTTTGAATCGGGTCTATCCTCCGGTTTATCAAAAAATAAAATAAAAGATATTATTACAAACATACTAAAAATAGAAGAAACACACTCTTCTTCCTCGTGCCTGCTGCATTTACCCGTCCAAATAAACCTTGAGCATTTCGAAAAGAATCGATCTGCAAATTTACTTTCTCCCTTTGTTCTGAATCACCAATCAATCGCTCCATTCAAGAATAAAGTCCCAATTTAATCTCATGATGAAAAGAAAATGAAGGTTTATATTTGATAATGAGGATTTAGAAAATATGCAGCAGGGTGCAAATGCATGTAAAGCTGACGATCCCACCGACAATCCCCAATATCTTAAACAATCTGATACTTTGCAACATCATTATTTAGATTTTGAGCAATTTTTTCTTTAACCCTGACCATAGCTTCGTAAATAAATCCCATTAGTGGATACTTCTTGGAATACACCATTTGAAGAACTATATCTAAGGATTTTATTGTGTTGAGCACATAAGCAACACCAGGTCAAAACGACTTGCTTTTTAGAATTATGTGGCACACATTTCCCCCCAATGATCGAGATGCATAAGCACTGGTTTTCCACTTTCTTGAAGTTAAAAAGGATTCAAGTCCATCCCTTACTCAAATCAAGCTTTGCAAAGTACGAAATGCTGTGGCAAATTGAGTAACAGCAGGTTTCATTAAATCTCCTCCGGTAAATTTTCTTACCATTGCTAAAACCCATGCATGACCGGAGATAAAATTTATTATTTTCTTGGCGATGGTTAACACTGAAGTATGGAGGGGTAACTTGAGAATGTCCTCCAACATTAAGTCAATGCAGTGTGTAGCACAATTTTTTTTTTCTCTATCAACATTTGCCCCACCACTTTATAAGCCGAGACATTGTCTGTTATCACTTGGACAATATTTTTTTCTCCAACTTCCTCAACGACTTCATCAAGTAATTTAAAAAGCAACTTTGCATCTTGTACTTGATCCGATGCATCAATGGACTTTAAAAAGTAAGTACCTTTCAGGTTTATTAACTAAAGAATTTATCAATGTACGCCCATTTGTGTCAGTCCAACCATCAGACATAATTCTACAACCGGTCTCAATCCATGAAGGTTTCGCTTCATTGACAAAGGAAGAAATAGCATTTTTCTCTTCTTTTAGCATCCATGTTTGCAACTCATACATAGTTAGGGGTTTGAATCCCCTTCCAAATCCACATACATCCTTCATCATAGCCCAATACGAAGGGCTTGTTGCTACATTGAAAGGTATTGAATTCTCATAGAAGATACGTCCAATAGACCTGAAAATCCGTATTCTTTTGTTTTTCTTCCAACTCTCATTCAAGGTAACTTGGTGCGTTTGATAAATCATTGACCACTCAGCACTCTTGCTACCAATATTTACTTGTTGTATAAAAAAAATTAATGGGTCTATGAACTTGTTTGTTGAACTTAACAGCACTTGAGTCTGTTGGTTTTTTAAATTGTGGATCGCGATCGATCATAGCAAGCCGCAATTGATTATACAATTGTATGTAATGAATTTAATGATTATTTAATACAATTATACAGGCATATGATATGATTAAATTATACAATTTCAGAATATATTAGTTATATTTATAAATATAACTATATTAAATATTTATAAATTTTATTAAACCAACCATTATCATTCTAATACATTCATTTTCTTAATAAAAGTAAAAATACGCCGACTAAAATATATTTTGTTCTTAATAATATATGTATATAACAAAATATTATCAAAGTCTAAAAACGAACTCTATAAATTAAAATATTTTTTGAAGTCTTATTTTAGCTTTTAATTAATCGATTTTTATGATGCGTTCCATATGAACGCACTAATTCAAATCGAATGTAACTATATTGTCTGTTTCGTAATTACTAACTCTAAACACATTCTTAGAACTAAAAAATTGCTTTAAAACGTTTGAAGCAAACCATAATTTAAAAAAATGTTGTTGGAGCAAGACTAAAAGCTAGAGTTGAAGGCCGAAGCGGAGCTCGATGCAATACAATGAGCTACGAGCAGCCCAATAGCGAAGCTCGACGCAGCGCAGAAAACCAGAAGATGGCGCGGGAGACCAGACGGAGGGTTTCGGGGGCCAGAATCGGACAATAATGGCTTTATTAGGGAAAACAAAGTTCACGTGCGACATACGTGGCCTTTTTAGGTTGGTTGTAAATAAGGCGACGAATCAGGAAAGCCTCAGCGCCTCATCGGACCAATAAAGGCAAACGTTTTATTAATTTGAATGAGGCTAACGCTTTAGTGCGAAAATCCAACGCCTCACCGCCTTGAGGCGTAGTTTTTTTAAACCATGTATATACACCAAACAATTTGATCTCTTCATAGATTACTTTTTTTAAGTCAGTAACATTATGTAATAAATTTTTTTTTGAAGTAATCAAATTTTCAGCCTAAACGCACATATTTGATTATTCAGCGTAGTTAAGGAGAGATCCGAACGATTTGCATTTCATAAAAACAAAAATTTACATTTTTAAACTTCAAATTTTGTGTTTTCTGCTTATTTTTGACTATTACTGTTATATACTAAAAAAAAAAAAAAAAAAAAAAAAATAGAATTTAAGCTTTTTTTACATAATTTATTATTTTTTTTATAAATCTATTTTAACCTAAGCATCAAGCAAAACAAAACTACTATAAAACGCGACGGGGCAGCGTCATAAAAACAGCTGAAACAAATGTGTATTTACATTCCAAAAATCTTTTTTTGGAATGTAAATAATAAATACATTTCTCTTTTATTCGAAAGTAAAATGACTTTTTAAATTAAAATATCCAATAAATGACTAAAAACCTCTTATTTTATCTTTTCGTAAACAGTAAAAACGTTAAAAAGTTTTCACATTAGTTTTCACTCATAGCGATTTACTACCATAATCTCTTTATAGTCGGTTTGAATAAATTACTAAACAAAAACGTTGCAGTATTTATATAACTTCTGCCCCATAGTATTAAGTTGAAACTTCAAACTCGTAGACAATAAAATCACCGAATATTTGTAAACAAAATAAAACAACGAGCTTTTTAGATTTAAAAAAAAAAAAAAAAAAACTAATCAAAACGCACACAAAATAAAACGGCATTTTTTAAAAACAAAAGGGACTAAGCGCTATATTTTTTCTTCGGATCTCTCCTTAACTATGCTGAGTAGTGTGCATAAAATACAATTCTAACGTAAATCAAAAACCAATATATTTATCAAAACTTGTCAACATGTAATAAAAGATTTATCAAAACATGTCATTTAAATACGAGAATTACGCAAACCTGTTTGAATTTTGAATAATTATTTTCTTGTAATCGCCACTACGCATCACCACCCACTCACCGCAACGGTACATTTTTTGCCTAATTTGTTGTAAAGTTGAAACACATGTTGATTAATTTTAAATTGATTGTTCTACTTTAATTTTGTAATTAATAAGATGTTATAACTGTATTGGGTTGTTCTCAATTTACAATACGCTTCTACTGCAATCAATGCGCCCTCCCTCATAGCCCTTCTGTTTCTGTTAAAAACAAATGACCACATACCCACTCATCAACTGAAAATGAAAGAAAAAAGACTGAACAAATATATTTTGTTATTCAGAAACATTTTTTCAAAGATTATTACTAATGATTATTTGATTATTTTGACAAATGTTCAATTTCAAAACATTTGAGAATAAAGATTTACAAGGACACGAAAAATTATTTGGCATTTTAGAATAGTTTGTGTATAAGAATGTTAAGAAAGCAATAAATTTAAACGTTAGCAAAGTATCGTTGTTACTTATCGCTTTTATTCACACAAAATATCGTTGTTACTTATAGCTTTTATTCACACAAATATTGTATAGTTAATAAAATAAAAAAACGTAAATAAAATATGTACATTTATATATATTTATATAAATAATTAAACTATATAAAAAATTATAGCAGTTCTTAATTGGAGAAATCTTTAAAATCTATTGTCAACGGTAATTATATTATTCAGGTATATTTATCTAAGTCCGAAGATTTTTGCGTTTTATTAATAAATATAATTTTATTAATAGAATTTATATTACTAAGACGGACATGGTTTTTTAAGAACAAAATCAACACCTTCTACGGAACCAGAATGATATGAACCAATAAGCAGATCGAGACTATTAAATTGCGGTCCGTTTTCAATACTATACGACAAAACGCCGGAAGAGAAACTCTAAATAATTAAAATCATTTAATTATTTGTTGACTTTAACTACAAACTATAATATTTTTTATACCTAATTATGACTTTATTAAAAAAAATTGATTAATTATTATATATATATATATATATATATATATATATATATATATATATATATATATATATGTATATGTATGTATGTATATGTATGTGTATGTATATGTATATGTAATTGTATATGTATATGTAATTGTATATGTGTATATATATTATATGTGTATATATATATATACACATATAATAAATATATATATATATATATATATATATATATATATATATATATATATATATATATATATATATATATATATATATATATATATATATATATATACACACACACACATATATATATATACACACACACATATATATATATACACTACTAGTGCTTGATTTACGGGTACTTTTTTTTTTCCCCCGTTAATCGCCATTTTTATTTTTCTATTTTTACTATATTTTTCATATATGTTCTTTTTTTTATGTTTTTATTTTATGTCAACTTTTATTTATTCATTTTTAAATTTATTATTTTCTTAAAAAACTTTATTTTTTATAAATATTTTTGTTATTATTATTTAATTATTATCTATTATATTTTATACTTTTATATAAATATTTACAAAAACGATAACTAACCCTAACCCTAACGCTATGCCTGACCTTACTGCCTGGGCAAACCAAACCCTCAGTCGATGTAGCAGCACTCCCTTGCGAGTCAGGCTATTTGTCAGTCGATATATGTACTTTTCGCTTTGCATAAAAACTATTTACGGGGACATTTTTTTACAAAAAAAACGCTACTTACGAGGACAAAAAATTATCGAGTACACTAAAATGTCCCTGATACTGCTAATGCCCTCGTAAGTATCCATTTTAATGTAAAATCTGTTCTCGAACATGCTACTATATGGATATATATATATATATATATATATATATATATATATATATATATATATATATATATATATATATATATATATATATATATATATACATATACATATATATACATATAAATTACTTCAATCTTAATTAGGTCATAAAACTATAATGTGGAAAATTTGAAAGTTGGAAGCCTTAACAATTCTGTCTTATTTTAATTTAAATTTTTTTACATAATTCATTATGAAACATAAACTAGAGTAAGCTGCAATAAATGAGTTTGAAATACGAGTTTCGGTGTAAAGCATATTTCATATTTTCATAGAATAAACATTTTCACAGTAAACCATTTTCATACAGTAAAACATGGGTAATTTCGCCACCAATTCTTTAAATTAAATAACTTGAAAACCAAAAATGCCAATAGAATTTTTTTTAAATTGTTACTAATATTTTTTAAACTATGCAAATGAAAAAAATATATATATATATATATTATTAATGGGAACAAAAAAAGTGTGGCGAAATTACCCCAATAAAATCTAAGAGGTAATTTCGCCACGTTAATTATTTACAACATAAATTATTTTTAAATACATAAGGCTTACATAGCTATTTTTCATAGAGATTTTTTCTTGTAGTTTTGAGGCATCGTTGTCGATAAAACTGATCGATTTAACTAATTTTAATTGATTTTAAGACAAACATGACTTGAGAAATTAATTACCAAAACAAGAAGACAGTGGAAAAAATATTAGCTATCCAATCAAAGCCCAGTTTTGATTGGATAACTAAATCCCAAAGCGCATCTCTATTTGATTTAAATAGATGGTGAAATTACCTCATTTACTAATTCCGGAATAACTTCAGAACCGATCAAAATAAGAAGAATCAACACCCAAATTCTTAGAAAAATTTCCTTATTAAATTTTTTGACGGAAATAAATAATTAAAATTTAAGGAGAACTTTAAATTTCATGTTTTTCCGAAGAATATTTTTGTCTATTTTCATATCAAATCTTCAAAAAAAGAAGTATTATCAAATTTTAAGCTTGAAAACTTTATTCAAATGCAGAATAAATAACAAACTTCCGCTGGAAAGCTATAGTTTTGTTTACGTTTAACTTTTTTTAATGACGCATTTCTTTTTAATTCTATAAAAAAGTGTGTCTTTAAAGCTGTTTATTTATGTTGATTTTTCAAATAAGATTTGATAATAAAACTTAACTTTATATTTTTATAAACATCAGTTTATATATATATATATATATATAAACTGATGTATATATATATATATATATAAACTGGTCAGTTTATATATATATATATATATATATATATATATATATATATATATATATATATATATATATATATATATATATATATATATATATATATATATATATAAACTGACCAAAACTAAAGCAACTTTTTAAGAGAAAAACAAAATTAAATAAAAAAGTCTTTATTTATAGGTAAAAATGTTGTATTTTTATTTTGCGTAACCACTCTTATTAGAGCAGTTTTGCAAAAGAAAAAACAATAAAAAAAACCTTTAAAATATAAAAATATACTTTTCTTAGAGGTCTTCCAGAATGTACGTACGCAGGTATGGGGGAAGAGAAGAAGGAAGGAGGGGGCAAAAAAGTACGAACGCGTATAAGGGATGGGGGAGGAGGTGTTAAAGACAGCGTACGTACGCATTTATCTATCCAAAACTTATCTATCTATACATTCTATCCAAAACTTTGATTTTTTTTTTAAAAATAAAAGCATCAAATTTCACAAGTTTAAAAAATCAATAATACCTTCGTAACAGAGAAATGTTGAATTGACTACAGATTTTTTGTTTTTAATGTTTTGAAAAATATATATGTATTTGAAAAGGGATGTGACTTTGTAAAAAAAAAAAGAGTACATACGCAGAAGAAGAGGTTCATTTATAGCATACAGTTACGTAAAAGGGGAGAAGGTCATAAATCAGTGGTTTTACTGCGTACTTTATGGATATATACATATACTTAAACAAATAAAAAAAATACATGCATGAGTAATTTAAAAAATTGAATATAAAGTGAACATTAAAGTAATCACAAAAAAGTATTTAATTTCAGTAGAATTGCTTTAAGTAGATAGAATGTTTATTTTTTATTTATTTTGGTTAGAAAGTGCAATTATTTAATACCATTTTGTTATAACAATAAACTAGAAAAATATAAAAAAAATCTGTAATCAACCGATGGATCAGCATACAAAATCTAAGCTACAGTAAAAACAAATTGATCATAGTTGGATTAGATTTGTGAAAAAAAACATATTTTGCTACTACTCAAGATGTAATTTTTTTTTTTAAACATCTTCGCTTCCAACAAGGCTGCAAGCAACCACTAATTAGAGTTGGAAACTAGAGGAATAAGAGTTTTTGGAACACTTCACAGAACAGTCACAGAACAAGAATGAGACTTAATTGAATGATGAGTAACATGAGAATGAATTTTAGTGGATGTCACAAGAGATGCTAGCTCTTTAGAGCAGTGCCTATTATAGTATTTGTAAAAAAGAGAAAGAGAAACAACATTACGAAAATGTGATAATGGTTGTAGGTTGGTTGCAAGAGCAGGTCCAACTTTGTTTACAATGCGTATTTGCATCTTGTCTAAAAGAGAAAGGGCATCATTAGAAGATCCGCCCCAGATATGGCAACAGTAATCCATACAAGGCCGGATTTGAGATTTACAGAGATAGAGAATAGAATCCAGAGTGAAAAAACGTCGAGCTCGATAAAGAGATGCAACTTTAGCATATGCTAATTTTGCAACGGATTTAATATATGATTTCCAAGAAAAATCAGAAGAGATAATCCTAGAAGATAAAGGGTAGATGACTCATCGAGTACGTTTATATTCATAAATATAGGAAGGTCTAAATTATTGCGATAATGATTGTCTGAAAAAAATAATTAAAGAATTAGAACTTTAAGAAAATACTGTAAAAAGACGTCTTGATGTAGCAGGATTATTTAGTTACAGAGCTGCAGAAAAACTGCTTTTTTTTTTAAAAAAAAAAAAAAAACTAGATTAGAACTTGCTCATGCTCATAAAAATTAGACAGCAGAACAATGGAGCCACATTTTAAGGAACAGCAAATCAAAATTTAACTTGTGCCATTTAGATGGGAAAAAACGTCAGACACTCAAAATGAATCCAAAGTATCATATATTCATAAAGATATTTTGGAAAAACAAACAGTTCTTTATGCTGTTAATATTATGCCTTTAAGATGGCAATTTCAGCAGGATATACCCTAAATATATGTCAAAACTTATTAAAACATGGTTCAATACTAATAAATTAGTTTAATGAAATAAATAGCTACTCGACCAGACCTCAAACCCCTTGAAAACCATTGGAAGCATTTGGACATCGCCAATTGAATGAAAAGAACAATAAGTAATACTGATCAGATATAAATTTTTTTTTTTTTTTTTTTTTTTTTAATATAATGTATGAGTTTTTCAGTTAAAAATATGCATTATATATAAATAGTTTTCATAATTTTAGTATGTATTTTGTATGACATTCAAAAAATGCTTTAATTTTTTGAATGTCATACAAAATGTCAATACAAAAAAGTTAAGCCAACTTGTCTTAACTCCAAAAACACAATTTTACATTAGGAGCAAAATAAAGTTTTTTTTCCACTTATTTTCTCAGAACTTTTTTAATAATCACTTTAGGAAATTAAAATTCATACACTATGTACAATTTATAATACTCTATATGTATGATTAGTTAGTTTTTTACGCCACAGAGATTTCAGATATGTATATAACTCATTTTACCCAAAAATGGAGTTAAGACAAGTCGGCTTTCAGGTACAGATATATTTATATGATTTTTATATATATATATATATGTACAGATATATTTATATGATTTATATATATATATATATATATATATATATATATATATATATATATATATATATATATATATATATATATATATATATATATATATATATATATATATATATATATACATATATATATATATATATATACATATATATATATATATATATACATATATATATATATATACTATATATATATATATATATATATATATATATATATATATATATATATATATATATATATATATATATATATATATATATATATATATATATATATATATATCTTAATAACTATACTATATTATGCAGAACTTGATTTAATACCAGTTAATTATATAATGAAAAAAAATCCAAATAATAAGATAATAAAGAAAATAAGAACCAGTTAAAACTTAAAAGCGTAAAAAACCATTAATGTAAACTTAAAGCCATTACTATAGCATCAAGTTATGATGACATACTAAAAATAACTTATTCATCGATGGTTTCAGTTACACGCTCGATGCCATACAAGTTTATAAAAGTTGAAAAGTTATCTTATTACAATCATTCTATTGAAAAAAACTCAAAAAAAACTTTGAGGAAAAACAAACTTATTTTATAGTATGCTGTTGTGCACAAACCTGAAAAATTTGGTAATGTGTTATTTTTTTATTTTGTGTGACAACTGTTAAAACGAGATTCCCAGCAGATGTACAACTTTCACGAATCAAAAACATTCTAAAAAGAAAAAAAAGAGTACTTGATGGAATCTTTTTATGCTAAATACAATTTAATTGAAAATCTATATAACTAATAATTAATATTAAAATTAAATTGTTAATATAAGCTTAAATACACGTAAATAAATTTAAATTCTGTACCCCTTTTTTAACCCGTGAAGTTTGAGTTTGTGTTGTGATTGTTCACGATTACATTTTCCATGATACCATGGTTTATTTTGAAGTAAACTTTGTCGAGCAAGTACTGGTGAGAAGGTTGCTGATATTCGTTTTGATGTTTTTGGAATTTCAAATGCGATTTCATTTTGTACTCGCATCAATTCAAGAGGATTGGATATTATGCGACTATTAGAGCCGGAAAAATCTAGGGCTACTTTGTTGTCGATTAAATCATCAAGTTCAGAGTGCGGACGCTTAAAAGAATAGGCAGATCTTGGGAAAACGAAATAAAATGCAAATTATTTTTAAATATAAAAAAAAAAGTTAAAAACTTTATTTTAATTTATATACATACTCTAAAAAGTAAACTGTGGCGAGCAACATTTGTGCGTCTAAGATTTGCCTCTTTATTCATTGCATCTCGAAAATTCATGTAAAGTTGTTGGCCATACTAATAAGATTAAATAAATAGTAGAAATTGAAATCCATAGAATAAATTAAAATAAATTAAATCAATCAAAATTAAAACCCGTAAAAAATTTTTACAGATACAAAACAGTATAATATTCCCTTTAAAAAAACAGATACTTTATGGTATCAAACAACTACCTTACCTAAGGTTTTAATAATTACCTTAGCAATTCGAAATCCTGTAAACCATCCTGTTAAAATCATATCTGATTCAGCGCAGAAGCATTTAATTTCACTCCACTCTGTTACAATATCGGGCTAAATAAATCATTATTCAAGCATTTGTTAATCTAGAGATGTTGAAGTTATAATTTCTAATACAACTCAAATACAATACTTAAAGTTTCTACTACTAGATGTCTAAATGTCATCAAAAATATATATTTTATATGTACAAGATGTCATCAAAAATATATATATTTATATGTACAAGATGTCATCAAAAATTTATTCAGCCCATAAAATGTTAAAAGACACTTTTTTCTGCTTCTTTTTTAACTTTTCCTCCTTTTCAAAACAAATTTAAAGAACTATAACATTTAAAACTGATGCGCACTCTATTAACTTGTTCTTCATGACATCACTTTGGAGTTATTTTAAAACGTTTTTCTGTATTATGAAACTACTTATTTTACTATTTTCTATATTTTTTATAACGCAAATAAATCAAACAAACAAACAAAAAACAAAAAAAATCAAATATTGTATAAAAGTATAAATTAAATATCAATTTATAGTTTAAGCTTATTCTTTGATTTCATGATAAAACAAAAAAACTTACAACAACACAAAAGCAGTAGGGTGTAGGAGACTTGTGTGCTCTAGAAAACTCAGGAAGACAATGAAATAAACATGAAGTTTTTGTGTCAAAGATTTTAGTTAGATTCTAAAACAACAACAACAAAAAATTGAAATAAATATTTATACTCAAATATATAGCACAAAATATATAATTATCCTCAAAATCGTATTAATTATTCTCAAGAAATAAATTAAATTAGAAATCTAAATTAAAAAATAATTATGCAATTAGTACTAATTATTAATTCTATTATTAAATTTATTACAAAACAACCAATAAACAAATTTGATGAAAATTTGTGAAGTCAAAAGAAAAATTATAAACTAAAAAACTAAAAGACTATATTTTTAGGCCAGTAAGCCCATTGGGATATTGAGCCGGTAGGCCCAAATATCCATGTGAGCTTAAATTATTAATTTAATTATTAAATAATTATCAAAAATTATGTTATATTTGTGTTACATTTGAGTAATTTAGTCAATCCTGTATGCTGAGTATGGTTCTAAAGAGCTAAATGATTCTTATTACAAAAACTTGAAACTTACATCTCCACCTTCAGCATCAGATATGTATAGACAAGATTCTTTAAGCCATAAAAACTTTTTAAGCCAAACTTTCTTGTCAAAATCTTTAATTAGAATAGCATACCGCATTGAAAGAGGAATTTCAGATGATACGAGACACTGCAATATTACAAAAATATTTGAAAATAATAAAAAGAAAAACAAAAAAAAAAAATTTAAAAATAACAAAAATCAAACAACTATTAAACGACTACAAAATAACAAGAAATAGTATATTTATAACAACAACTAATAATAATAATAATATTACAAATAATATTTAAAAACAACAACAATTAAATGTTTATTACCCCAAGAAGCAAACTTTTTTTATCTACTTCTGTTGAACTATTTGCTTCACACATCTCTTGTGGCAAATAAACCTACAAATATATATATATATATATATATATATATATATATATATATATATATATATATATATATATATATATATATATATATATATATATATATTTGGGTAAGATAAGAATTATAAATTTTATTTATAAGCCAAGTTGGATACATGTTTCGACTGTTTTATAGTCAACTTCAGTTAGGTTAAAAAAACAATGGTGAATATAAATATCTTTTATGTCTGATGAAGACTTGTGCAAAATTGGTCAAAATAAAACAAAGAAAAATATAAATAGTATTGGCCATTAATAACTTTCCATAATGTTATTTTAGTATGAATATAAGTTCG